ATCATCACCATCATTATCATCATTATTGTAATTCATTACAATATCAAACTCAACTTCATCCAACAATTGTTTTATATTGTTTTTATGTGTTTGAGAATATATATGAAATACTGTATATATTTGTACTGCAGTTGTAATATATCAAATTGAGCTGCTCCTCGCAGTATATGAAGCAACTTATGCAGCTGCAAATTGAAAGACTCAGAAAAAATTCTGAGCCTTGAACCGGATTTGAACCCGTGCCCTGGTGATTCTGGTTATATTGTTTTGTTGTCGTGACAGGGAACTTTGTTGCTGTTGGTACCATGGAGCCATACATCAACATCTGGGACCTAGATGTGATAGACTGTCTGGAGCCTGCTGCTACCCTGGGAAAGAAGAAGAAGAAAAACAAAAAGGTGCACAAATCACTCCACCTTATATGATTCAGTAATGACAAAAGCGTAAATTATACACTGTGAAAAGATGAAAAAACTGACGTTTCGGATGCTATTTCTTTGTCGRAGTAAAAGAGAAATAGGTGGTACATCTGTAAACCTTTGCAGGGCTTTCAGAAGAAGCTGGCAGCTGCTGGCGATTGCTTTGAAGTTAACCGCCAGCTACTTTTTCTTCAATATGAAATACCTTCTTGTTCTTGTATCAAATCACAGCAAGCTACTTCAGACTTATGGCCACCTACTCCAAAACATTCTAAAAGCCCTGATTTAGGGTATTTCTTTGAAGTGTTTTCAATTACTGTTTTCATTGCTATGCAGTGCTTGATATGAACATTGCAACAGGTTGATTTTCAGTAAAACCACCTCCAATAGGACGTTTGCATCATGACGTCATTTGACTCCCACTACCAGACTCCCTTGCACACTTTCTTTTGTTCACTTAAAGTGCTACTCTGATGAAAATCGAACTCAACTTCGAACATCGCTCCATACATTTCTTTGTAGTTTATGATCAAAATATCAGTAGTAAAGGAGAAAGAAATACCCAAACACCCCAAAATATAAATTATAGTCACAAATAAACACATTAGCCACCCTTTGGGCTTCATAGGAATAAAATAAATTAAGGATTTATATACAAAAAAATGTATGAAGCGATGTTCGATGTTAAGTGTATGACGTCACAAACTCTAAAAAGTAATCGTAAAATATATATTTGTTTTATGGTACATATAGTCTACACCTTGATTGACTTTCAAAGGAATTTATTTGTTTCTCATTTTCAAATCCACAGAAATCCAAGAGTTCAAGTGACTTGGGGCACCAGGGGGCTGTCCTTGACTTATCCTGGAACCACAACATAAGGTATGGTAATAGTCTCAAATTAATTCACTGTTATAATCATTATTAAGGCCCCGTCCACACTATGCCGGATAAATTTGAATCCGAATTTTTAATTATTCGGTTCCATTTTGAAAATTCGTTTTCGGTGAAGAATTGTTCCGGATTCGCCCGGACTAGTGTGGACGGTAGGCCTAACTAAATAAATAAAAATTCGGATTCAAATTTATCCRGCATAGTGTGGACGGGGCCTAAGATGAAGTGCAATAAGTTTTGATGGACATCAATCAAGGCTTCACACTTCTAATTATATGGGGGTTTGTAAGTTGGCTTTCATTTATTTGTGCATTGGGGGGTGGGGGGGGGCTTCGGTAGTCTAGCTTTGGTACAAACAACACCATATAAGGCATGATGGACAAAAGATGTTTGTACCTAAGCTATACCAAAATGCACCATGTTCRCTAACTCAGAAAAGGTCTGTGCCGCAACTTCAGTCTCGGCTTGGAACATTAATGGAGTATAATGGAATATTCAAAACTTTAATACATGTATGTACATTTTTCTAGACATTGTTATTTCTCCTAAGTTGCAATTGATAATGAATTTTTCCTTTTATCTTTATTTATTAGAAACGTTCTGTCCAGTGGGTCTTCAGATAATACTGTTATATTATGGGACATGGCTGAAGCTAAGGCCGTACATGTATTAAAACATCACAAAGATAAAGTAAGCTGCTACAGTACAGAATGCATATAAGGAGGTTTTTTGGTGCTTGGAGACTAGTTATTAAAGATGTGATTTATGTTTCTTCAAGCAAATCTTTCTTCTGAAAAAAATCCGAGCTCCAGACGGGATCATTCGTACCTGTGACCTTCTGTTTGCTAGCTCGGAAATTTTTCTTTCAAGGAAAATTTGCTTTCAAGAAGAAACATAATGCAGGGACCGGTTGTATGAAGCCTAGATAGTGCTATTCAAGGGATAAATCTTATCCAGTGGAAAAATTTATTGGATAACAGCATAGATTTATCCACTGGACAAAGATTAGTCTGCCGCTATCCAGGCTTCGTAAAACCTGGCCCAGATCTTTAGTACAGAATACACCTGGTACTGTACTTTGACCAGACACTGACAGTGATCCACACTAACTTTTATTGGGAAGCACCGGTGGCGTGCGCTGCTAATGCACCGGCTCTCACCAATGCGACCCGAGTTCGAGTCCTGTCAATCTCAATGTCGTATGTGAGTAGAGTTGTTTGTTGGTTCTCTCCTGTGCTTCAAGGGTTTTTCTCCAGGTTCTCTGGTTTTCCTCCCTCCTCAAAAATCAGCTACTAAATTCTAATTCGATCTTTGGGCTTTCACCTAGTTTGGAGCCTAGCTCTGTTGTGATTGTCCCACGCTTTGATACAACAGCTAAAGYTAGTAGATTTAAATTAGATACTAGGTACAGGTATTGGGCTACTAGTACTGTAAGTCAATATTACCAGTATCCCAGCAGAGTGATTTACTAGCCTAGATCTTTAGTTTATGAATTAGGGGAGGGACTGCCATTAATGTGGTCATCTCAGCCACATGAATGTCTAACCATTTGTAGAATGTATTAGACCTTGTTAGTCTGGTCGTAACATTGTTTTCCCATTCCAAGCCATGTGTCATTCTCTTAAGAATGGGATTCTTTGTTTGAGTTGTATTCATATTCATGTGTCTTCTCATGTGCAACCATTAGACAAAGAAATGATACTCTAGGGAATGAGACATAATGTCGTAATGTTTTGCCCATATCAGACCATGTGTCATTCTCTCGAGAATAACATTCTTTGTTTGGGTTGTGCGCAAATTCATGCGTGGCTTCTCATGCGCAACCCTTAAACAAAGAAATGACACTCTAGGAAATGAAATGTGGTCTCAAATCGTACAACATTATGCCCAAGGTAAAGAGGTCTATTGCAAATGCAGCACCTAATTTCATAATATTGATGGATTTTTTATCTATTTTAGGTGCAGACATTAGAGTTTCATCCTTATGAGCCACAGTCTCTTCTCACAGGCTCTTTTGATAAGTATGTCTAAATATTTTAACATTTTAACATATTTTCCTGTGCTTTGAGAGTCATGATCTTCATCTTCTCTGTTTCCTTGCGATCTACCCCGTGCTCGCAGCGCCAAATGTGACCAAGTGGATGTTGAACGGCAAAGATGATGAAACTCATTGCAGGTCTTTTCCAAGATAGGTCGCAGGAAAATAAGTGAAACTAAAACTAAAACTTGGACTTAAAAAAAAAMCACARCTAAACAGCACAAAATCTGGAGCAGAACTGATTTATTTTTCAAATTACGAATACTGTTGCGTGATCACTTACATCCGGCATTCCAAATATGGCTAGTACAAACGTAACGCAACAAACTCGAATAAATCTTCAACCAGTATGTTATCAACCAGTTTTCAACTTGGTTACAAGAGTTTTCTGGATTCTCCGGCTTTCCTCTCTACACAAAAATCAACTTCTAAATTCCAATTACAATGCAGCGGAAGAAGAGCCCCTTTTTGGAATCCACTGTTAATCCCATTATTTATTTATTTATTTACTTATTATTATTACGCTGTAGACTTCTTTACTGTATGACATATTCATGTGTCTTCTCATTTGCAACCATTGGACAAGGAATTATATTGTTCTTTTTTGATTTCAGGAGAGCAAAAGTTGTAGACTGCAGGAGCCCAGAGGTAAGAACACATCTAAAGGGCTATTGGCATTGTTTGACATATGCAGGGGCGGATCCAGGGGAGGGGTGCAGCGGGCTGCGCACCCCTCCCTGGTTCRACTTTGTGGCCCTACTTCAAAGATAACCAAACTGGTTTTTTCTTTTGATTCTAAGGGGTGCACCCCTCCCTGAGTTAACTTTGTGAGTTGCACCCCTTCCTGAACAAAATCCTGGATCTGCCCCTGATATGAGGACCCTTGTGTTAATCACTTCTTTGTGCTTGGTATCCTCAATAACATTTATTTATTTATTTAACTGATAATCTACTGTATCATTTTGTTTCATTAGAGCAATATTAAGTCATGGAAGTTCAATGGAGAAGTGGAAAAAGTCATATGGAATCATTTTTCACCATTTAACTTTCTTGTAAGATTTTATAGATTGATAACTATTATACACCTAATTCAAAAAATGTTGTCATCGCCAAAGGCAATAGGTGATAGGTCATTCGGACATGGAAATGGTTTCGTTGAATAGAAAGAACATCGAATCAGTCTCAACACTAAGGTCCATACTCTTGACGAGAATAAGAAGCAGAAGCACAAGTCATTCCAGCTATTCTTGGATCTTGGAATGACATATATCCTATCGCTTTTCGCCTATCTCCTATTGCCTATCGCCTTTGGTGATGACAACGTTTTTTGAACTAGGTGTATAAGATTTATAAGATTTTTGACCATTAACATTGAGTCGGAAGTAAGTTATGACTAAGCTGAAACTAATTTTGCTGGTTGTAATGACCAGCGACAGACTGTAGCTTTAGCTTTTTATAGATACCCGTAATGAGGAGTTCTGATAGTCTGAGAGGGTAAAGGGTGCACCATTGAGTGCTTTACGCATGAGCTCTGGCTTGGGAGATTTTAGCAACTGCTTGCCGCGTTATCAAAGTGAAATGGATTACCTTCACCTTTTTTCACAGGCAAGTACAGATAATGGTTGTGTATACTGTTGCGATGTCAGGACAGATTCTCCTGTGTTCACTATTAATGCTCATGACAGTGCAATTGGTGGTAAGTGTACTATTACTTTTATACCTCAATCATTATGCCCTTTCCATTCTGGATGGAGATGGCTGGATATACTAGAATTCTAAATCAGTAAGCACCTATATATTCTGCCCTGAATTTGACAAATTGCCTTGAGATTTCGTTTTGTTTTGTTTTAATTATTTTTGCATTAATTTATTAATTCGTTCTTCTATTGGTCCATCCATCCATCCATCCATCCATCCAT